CAGGGCAGGAGAAAGCTGCTCCTCTGGGAATGCAGGGCAGGAGAAAGCTGCTCCTCTGGGAATGCAGGGCAGGAGAAAGCTGCTCCTCTGGGAATGCAGGGCAGGAGAAAGCTGCTCCTCTGGGAATGCAGGGCAGGAGAAAGCTGCTCCTCTGGGAATGCAGGGCAGGAGAAAGCTGCTCCTCTGGGAATGCAGGGCAGGAGAAAGCTGCTCCTCTGGGAATGCAGGGCAGGAGAAAGCTGCTCCTCTGGGAATGCAGGGCAGGAGAAAGCTGCTCCTCTGGGAATGCAGGGCAGGAGAAAGCTGCTCCTCTGGGAATGCAGGGCAGGAGAAAGCTGCTCCTCTGGGAATGCAGGGCAGGAGAAAGCTGCTCCTCTGGGAATGCAGGGCAGGAGAAAGCTGCTCCTCTGGGAATGCAGGGCAGGAGAAAGCTGCTCCTCTGGGAATGCAGGGCAGGAGAAAGCTGCTCCTCTGGGAATGCAGGGCAGGAGAAAGCTGCTCCTCTGGGAATGCAGGGCAGGAGAAAGCTGCTCCTCTGGGAATGCAGGGCAGGAGAAAGCTGCTCCTCTGGGAATGCAGGGCAGGAGAAAGCTGCTCCTCTGGGAATGCAGGGCAGGAGAAAGCTGCTCCTCTGGGAATGCAGGGCAGGAGAAAGCTGCTCCTCTGGGAATGCAGGGGGCAGAGGCTGTGCTGGTGTCCCAAACCTCAGATTGTATCCAGGTAGGAATGCTTGGCTCCTCCCCTGGGCGGAGCATCTCCCATGGGATGCTGGAATTTGATCAGCCATGCAGGGACACTCACTGGCCATGGACAGAAGATAATTAATAATTAACAACCTATTAACAGAAGATAATTAATAATTAATGGCCCATGAACAGCAGATTTCCACCTTTTGTCACGCAGGGCCAGGAGCTGGCCCAGCTGGTGGCTGGAGGAGCTCTCAATTGTCCCTCTCTGATTTTCAGGTCCCATTCCCACAAAGGCCCTTCGCTTGGGCTCCTCTAGGAAAACCCAAACTCTGATTTTCTCCCCGCCTCAAGCAAAATTCTGCTGCTGAAGCACTGCGAGCAGCAGGAACTCCTCCAAGAACTGCATTTCCCCCTGATAAAAATGAAACCTGAAAGGAAGAATCATTAATAAAAATCCAATTCTGACTTCATTAGGGAAAAAAACAAAAAAGAAGAAAGAAAGAACCTCCTCATGCTGTGATCCATCTTAGGGCTGTATTTCCAAGGGGGCTTTAAAGCAGGATTTGCCCTTGGCTCATCCTGCAGGATGAGCAGCCAGCACGAGCTCCACGTGGGCAGCCCGGGGATGTCACTGCTGTCACTCGTGCTGCCGGGGAGGGAGGCAGGCAGGCAGGGAGGGCTCTGCTGCTCCTGCTTTCCCCACAGCCCCAGCTGCAAATTTAGCAACAGCGCCTGAGCTCCTCTTTGTGCTCTCCCACGTCCTGCCCCGCTCCAGCTCCTGCCTGCGTGGAGTTCTCCAAGAGCTCTGCTTAGCAACCTGGCAGCCCTGGCTGCAGCGCCAGGCAGCCGCTCCTTCCATCCCTTCCTGCCATCCCTCCTGCCATCCCTCCTGCCATCCCTCCTTCCATCCCTTCCTGCCATCCCTTCCTGCCATCCCTTCTGCCATCCCTCCTGCCATCCCTCCTGCCATCCCTTCCTGCCATCCCTCCTGCCATCCCTCCTGCCATCCCCTCCTGCCATCCCCTCCTGCCACCCCCTCCTGCCATCCCCTCTGCCATCCCTCCTGCCATCCCTCCTGCCCTGCTCCCTCTCAGCCCCCCTCAAAGGCCAGGTAATCCCCCAGTGACCCTCCTGTCCCCTCCGTGCCCCCTGGTGACACTCCTGTCCCTCCCGTGCCCCCCGGTGACACTGGTGTCCATCCCGTGCCCCCCAGTGACCCTCCTGTCCATCCCATGCCCCCGGAGCTGCGGGCAGGCGGGAGCAGCCCTGTCCCCGCTGCTGCCGCAGTCCCAGCTTCCAGCAGGAATATTTCTGTGCAGCTCCACCTCACTGGGGCAAGGCAGAGGGAATTCCCGACCCCCGGCAAAGCTTTGGAGCCACCCAGAGCCCCCAGAGGGAAGCAGGTGAGACCCCAGCGGGCATTGCACAGGAGATACAGAGCCAGGGTGGTTTATTTTATAAAAATATCTCCTCTGCCTTTGTGGCTGGCTGAAAGGGATGGCAAAGCAAACCAGGGCAGCTCCAAGTGCCGGCTCCCAGCGCTCCCACCCTGTCCTCCACAGCAGAGCCACCCCAGGAGCAGCGTGGCCCCTCTGGAGAGCAGAGAAGGGCCTTGGATTGAGGATGGAACCCTGTGTTTGTATTTGCTGGGAATGCCTGGACAAAGGCAGGAATGATGAATCTGACTCCATGTTCTCAGAAGGCTAATTTATTATTTTATGATCTATATTATATTAAAGAATACTATACTATTCTATACTAAAGAATACAGGAAGGATGCTTACAGAAGGCTAAAAAGACAATAATGAAACTCGTGACTCTTTCCAGAGTCTGACACAGCCTGGCCCCAATTGGCCAAGGAGTGAAAACAACTCATAGCAGACTCCAATGAAACAATCACCTGTGGGTGAACCATCCCCAAACACATCCCACATGAGCAAACAGAGGAGAAGCAAATGAGACAAGAATTGTTTTCTTTTTCTCTGAGGCTTCTCATCTTCCCAGGAGAAAAATCCTGGGCGAAGGGATTATCTCAGGGAATGTGAATGCCGCAGAACCCAAACCTTCTCACTCCAAACCCTGGAAGCTCTGCCAGCTCTGCCCTGCCTGCGGCGGGGAGCGAGGGGAGGCAGGACGGGGCAGGTCCGGGAGGAGCAGGAGGGCTGGGAGAGCATCTGGAGCCAGGCAGAGCAAGGGGGCAGATAAAAGCACGAGACGGGCGTGAGCCAGGCTGGCACGGGGCCTGGGCACGGGGGGAACTGAGCCAGGCTGGCACGGGGACCGGGCACGGAGAGAACTGAGCCAGGCTGGCACGGGGCCTGGGCACGGAGAGAACTGAGCCAGGCTGGCACGGGGACCGGGCACGGAGAGAACTGAGCCAGGCTGGCACAGGGACTGGGCACAGAGCCCCACAGCAAAAGGGGCACGGAGTGAGCTCTGAGCCAGGCAAAGCCTTTGGAACAAAAGGCAGCCCAAAACAGGCTCAGACAGAGCTGGCTGCTGGTCCTGCAGCATCACCCCAGCAGGGCTGTGCTGCTCCTGGCACCTGGCACACCTGGTCACACCTGGCACAGCTGGCACATCTGTCATACCTGGTCATACTTCTCCAACTTCTGCTCTCCCACCCTTTCCAACCTCTGCTGCCCCAACCTGCCCTCCACAGGGCATTGAGAAGAGCTCAGCTGCTTTCCCTGCCGTGTTTTGGGCACTCAGCTCCCCTCCCCAGAGCAGCTCAAGGGCAGCACGTGGCGCTGTGCCCTGCCAGGGCATCGGGGCATCAGCAGGAGGGCACGAGCCCAGCCTGGCTCAGAGCCTGCAGGCACGAAAAACCAGCCTGAGACAGGCTGGCACAGCCACGTGGCAAGGGCAGCCGGCCCTGCTGCAGCTCCTGACGCGGAGCTGTGTTTGTACAAGCGCCTCCTTCCCTCCCAGATGTTTGCAAAAGCTCGGGGAGTTGGCACGGCAGCGAGGAGCTGGACTTTAATTAACCCCGAGGCAAACAGGAGGAGGACGTCAGCAGCCTGGAGCTGCTCTGCTGCCCTGGCAGGAGCTCCCAGCTCCTCCAGGCTCCTCACATGGCCGTGTGTCCCCTTGGAAATGTCCTTCTGGGGTGGAAAGGGCTTGGCTGGTGCTGCTTGCTGTTCTCCTGGTGGCTTTGAGGCTCCACAAAATCCATCTGCTGTCCCACTCGTGTTGTCAAGCACCCAGAGGACACCACAGTGGCCAGGGCCAGCCAGGTGGGAAACCACCAGCACAAAAAAGAAAAGCAGATTTAGGGACAAAACAACCAAGCTGGAAAGTGTCCATATCTGCTGCAGCCCCTGCAGCTGCTGCACAGCACAGACCCCATCCATGCATCATCAATAATTGGATCCATCCATCCACCCATCCATCCATCCATCCATCCATCCCTCATCCATCCATCCATCATCCATCCATCCATGGATCCATCCATCCATCATCCATCCATCCATGGATCCATCCATCCATCATCCATCCATCCATGGATCCATCCATCCATCATCCATCCATCCATGGATCCATCCATCCATCATCCATCCATCCATGGATCCATCCATCCATCATCCATCCATCCATGGATCCATCCATCCATCATCCATCCATCCATGGATCCATCCATCCATCATCCATCCATCCATGGATCCATCCATCCATCATCCATCCATCCATGGATCCATCCATCCATCATCCATCCATCCATGGATCCATCCATCCATCATCCATCCATCCATGGATCCATCCATCCCTCATCCATCCATCCATCCATCCATCCATCCCTGTTCCATCAGTGATGGAGGGACAGCACACAGGAATGGTTCCCACTGCCAGAGCACGGATAGATGGATTTGGGAAGGGATTCCTGGCTGTGAGGACGATGAGGGGCTGGGATGGAATCCCCAGAGAATCCCTGGCTGCCCCTGCATCTCTGGAAGTGTCCAAGGATCACCCCGGGATAGTGGGAGGTGTCTGATGAGCTCTAAGGTCCCTCCCAGCTTAAACAATTCTGGGATTTTAAAACACCAAATTCCTGTTTTACAGCGTGACCCCAACGTTCCTACACACACCCCAAATCCACGCCATTCCATCATGTGTATTTCAGAGAGCAGGGCCAGAAAGAACTTGGGAACATCATCACCCTGGAAAAGAGGCACAGCAAAGTCCCCTGTGTGCTCAGGAGTCGTTTCCCTGTCCTCAGCAGCAGGTTCTGCTCTGTTTGCCCGCCCTGGGCTGGCAGGGAGGAGCAGCAGGAATTAACTCCTGCTGTGCCTTGGTTTGCACAGCCAGGTTCTGCTAAGGAGGGCAGGAGCTCTTGGAACAAAGCTTCCCGCAGCCCGGCTGGGAGCAGCGGGGCAGGGGGGCCCCGCACGGCCCCGGGGCCGCCGGCAGAGGGACAATTGGGACGTGGTTTGGGTCCAGGATGGTGCCGGGGGGCTGGAGCTGAGGGAGGACGGGCAGGTTTGGGCTCTGCAGGCTGATCAGCAGCTGGGTCAGCCTGACACCCCCGGGCTGTGCCGGGGTGGTGACACTGTCCGTGGGGAGAGGCTGGAGCTGCAGGACAACGGGGATGCTGCCAGCAGCCACCACACGGTCACCAACAGCCACCACATGGTCTACATCAGCCAGCACACGGTCACCAGCAGCCACCACACGGTCACCAACAGCCACCACGTGGTCTACATCAGCCAGCACATGGTCACCAACAGCCACCACACGGTCACCAGCAGCCAGCACCTGGCCACCAGCAGCCACCACATGGTCACCAGCAGCCACCACATGGTCACCAGCAGCCACCACACGGTGACCAGGAGCCACCACATGGTCACCAACAGCTGTCCCCGCAGCCTCTGGGACGTGTCCTGCTCCTCCCTCGTGTGCTCCGGGCTGTGTCCCAGAGCCAAGCTCAGCTCTGCTCTCCACCTTCCACCCCGTGGGGTGAGGATCTCCTGCCTCATCCCTGTGGGGCTGTGCCTCTCCCTGAGGAGCTCCTCGATCTCCTCCAGCGTGGGGGTGAGGTCCTGCGGGAGGCAGAAGTCGGGCAGCCTGAGCTGAGCCTGGCTGAGCTGGGCTTTGGGGGGCTCCTCCTTGGCCCTGGGCAGCGGGACAGGCTCGGCATGGCCGGTGCCACCCGCCAGGACGTGCCCAGGGCCCTTGGGGTGGCCACACGTCCTGTCACCGCCGTGTCCTGGCAGAAGGGACGGTGCCATCCTGCACTGCAGGGCGCTGGCCAGGCTCTGGAGCAGGGGAGGGCCGGGCAGGGAGGGCAGCAGGTCCTGGCAGCTCACAGAGACCATTTGGTGCCTCCCCACACGCAGCTCTTGGCTCAGGGAGAGCTCAGCTGGGGAAGTCTTCGTTCATCTGCAAGGGAACCCAGCGAGGTTATTTCCAAAGGAGAAAACAAACACGCAAACCTCAACCTTTTAACAAAACTGGGCCGTGCAGCGAAAAGAAAACAGCAGAACCTGGCAGCTGCCTGTGTTTTTGAAGAGTCTGCTGCTGAGAAAACACGGGCTGACCGTTTTCCTCCGCTGGCTGCCAGCAAAGAGGCAGAGTCCCCCCAGGAGCAAACTCCTCTGGGGAGTTTCTGGAGGTGAAAATGCAAAAGCAGCCCTCCATCCCTCCTGTGCCGCCCACACCAAGGGCAGCTCTGCGCAGGGGACGGCTCCTGATGAGCCCGGAGTTCAGTGATCCTGCAGAGGCTGCTGTGGGCAGGAGCACGCCCTGGCACACACAGGGCTGGTTAGGGCTGCCCACCTGCACAGGTAACACCGAGGCAGCCCCGGGCACTGGGATGCTCAGCCGTGCCAGGGGCACTGCGGTGCCCAGGCACGCCGAGCTCTGCCCGGGCAGGTCAGCCCACCTGGGCACAGCAGAGAGCGGCTCAGCCCGGCTGGAGCAAGGCAGGGCCTAAACAAAGGCAATTCTTTGAGTCTTGCTCCAAACAGAGTCAGAATTACAATTAAAGCCACACTGGAGGTGTCCCCAGACTCCTCCTGATGGTGCCCTTGGCCTGTCTGCTGCACTCACATTTTTTTTTCCTTTCCTTTCCTTTCCTTTCCTTTCCTCTCCTCTCCTCTCCTCTCCTCTCCTCTCCTCTCCCTGTTTGTTGTAGTTTTCCCCACTTTTTGAGCAATGTTTCAGCAAATGGGGCACTGGCAGGAGATCTCCTGGGGGAAGAAGCAGCAGGGCAGCCAAGGTTTGGCTTTTTCCTTTCCTTTTTCCTTTCCCTTTTTCTTTCCTTTCCTCCCCAGGTCACCTCCAGGTCCCCTGAGGACACAAACCCCGCGTTTGCAAACAGCTCAGACAGAGCTCAGCGTGTCCAGGTGGGAGCTGTGTGCTCAGGAGGTCTCTGGTGACTGTCACAGACCCCAGGCCCTGCTGGGCTCAGGCTGGGAGGGAGGTGCCCAAGAACCCCCAGAGCAGCCACTGTCCCTGTCCCTGTGCTGCTCTGGGGCACCAAACCACCCCGGGCACAGGGATCTGTTTGTGTCTAATGCAGAATTGGAGTTTCCAGGGGAAAAAAAAAACAAAACCAAAACAAAAAAAAAAACCAAAAAACAAACAAAAAAAACCCCAAAACCAAAAAAAATACAAAAAAACCCACCTTTGTCTAAATCCCTCAGGAACTTTTCCCATGAGATTTCTGTGGAGCTGCAAACCAGTCTGGCCAGTCCTTGTTATCAGCGCTCCTCAGGGTCCTGAGAGGGAATTTTGGAGCACTCTGGATGCCGTATAAATGCTCTTCTCCTCAGGAAAGGACCCCCGTGTGGTGCCAAAGCTGCCAGGAACAAGAAGCAGGGGCACTCCCAGTGCCCAGCACAGCTCTGCCCAGCAAGTCGCAGTGAGCAGGGACTGTCACTGCTCACACCAGGGCTGAGGAGGTGTTCAGGCCAATCTCAGCCTCCAGGCTTCACATTTTCCACCACGTGGAGTCCAAATCTGTGCTCTGCACAGCCTCTTCCAGGCAGCTGCACTCAGTTTTAGGATCTTTTGTCTTTTCTTCTCCATCTGCTCTTTTTGCAGGGAAAGCCTCCCCCCTGTGGCTACCAAAGGCTCCTGTTCACCTCTCCCGGAGTGTCCCAAACCTGATTTTCCAAGCAGCTCCTGCAGAGCAGTTCAGGAATGTCCATCCTTCCAGCATGGCCCCAGGAGAGCTGAATTCAGCCAACGGGCACCTGGCACGAGTGTCACCTCCCTGTCAACCCGCTTTGCAAAATGCCACCAGCGCTGTCACCCACCCCAAGGCCTCCGCAGGGAAAGGAGCCCTGGCTCCGTCCCTCGCCGCAAGGGCAGCGCCGTTCCCGAGCCTCCCTTTGCATTTTTGTGTTCCTGCAGTTTTCCCAAGCTCCGGGAATGCGCGGCCCGGGCACACGGACAGCAGCGCTTGCCCAAGGTCAGCCAGCGAGGCTCACGGCTCCCTCCGGGACCGAGCGACGAGAACAAGCACCTGTAACCTCCGGAACCACCGGGCCGAGCAGAGCCGAGCCCTTGGGGACAACCCCCGGTCCCACGCGTGGCCGATGCCTCGGTGTGAAGCGGCACCAGGGACAAGCGAGGCTCCGGCTGCAGCGCCGGGGCGGGCTGGGCGCACCGAGCCCGGTGCTGCCGGTACCCCCTGCCCTGCCCTGCCCTGCCCCGGTGTCCCGGGAGCGCTGCCGGGGGCACCCGCGCCCCTTACCCCGCTCCGCCGGGGGCTCCGAGCCCTTTGGCACGGGACAGCCAGCCGGGAGGGGCACCGGGGTGTCCTGGTCCGGGACAGCCCGCCGGGAGGGACACCGGGGTGTCCCAGCACCGGGATGGCCCGGCCCCGTCCCCGCTGCCCTGCCCTGCCCTGCCCTGCCCCGGTGTCCCGGGAGCGCTGCCGGGGGCACCCGCGCCCCTTACCCCGCTCCGCCGGGGGCTCCGAGCCCTTTGGCACGGGACAGCCAGCCGGGAGGGACACCGGGGTGTCCTGGTCCGGGACAGCCAGCCGGGAGGGACACCGGGGTGTCCTGGTCCGGGACAGCCAGCCGGGAGGGACACCGGGATATCCCGGCACGGGACAGCCCGCCGGGAGGGGCACCGGGGTGTCCCGGCACCGGGATGGCCCGGCCCCGTCCCCGCTGGAGCGGCTCCCGGAGGAGATCCCGCCGCTGGCTCCACTCGCTGCTGGTTTGCACCGGGAGCGCTCCGGGAAAAGAGGGGAGTCCTGCAGGGTGGGGGGGCCGCGGGAATCCGCGGGGATCAGGTGTGGGGGGGGGGTTTGGAGTCAGGGGCATCCAGGTGTGCGGGGGGGGTTGAACCCAAGCGGATCCAGGTTTGGGGGTTTTGAACCCAGCTGGATCCAGGTGTGTGCAGGGGTTTTGGATCCAGGGTGGGGATTTTAAATGCAGGTGGATGCAGGTGTGAGGGGTGTTTTGAGTCCAGGGGGATCCAGGTGTGTGTGGGGCTTTGAATCCAGGGGGACCCAGATGTGCAGGCGGTTTTGAACCCACATGGATCTCAAGTGGGGATTCGGAGTCTAGGTGGATCCAGGTGTGAGGGGGATTTTGAGTCCAGGGGGATCCAGGTGTGTGGCAGGATTTAAATCCAGGTGGATGCAGGGCAGGGATTTTTTAATTCCACGTGGATCCAGGTGTGGGGGTTTTGAACCCAGCTGGATCCAGGTGTGGGGGGTTTGGGGCAGGGCTGCAGCACTCGGATGCTGCTGGTGGGACAAGGAGTGAGGTGTGTCCTCGCTGTGGCTTTGGAGTCCCTGAGGGTGGCTTTGGGGTGAGCCACACCGAGTTCCTCTGCTCAGGGAGAAACGTGAGATTTTGGGTCTGAACCTGGGCCAGGGGAAGGCTTTAAATTTATAAAAACCGAAACAAAATTAAAAAAACCCCTGAACGTGCACAGAAAGGGTGACCCGGTCTGTCCCTGGGTGCTGCTGTGTCACTGCGTGTCACTGACCCGTGTCACAGCCACACATGAGATAAGTATTGATAATCATTAATAACACTCATTTGTGGCCGTGCCGGGGTTGGGAAGGTCTCAGCTCCTCAGAACCCTCAGGTGCTGCCCTGGTTCAGGCACGGAGGCTTGGACTGACACCGTGTCACCAAATCCTGGGGACAGTTTGTCCCGCACCTGGCGTAGCGAGCGGGATCGGAGCTTTTTTGGGAACAAGGAGCGGCTGTGCGGCTCCGCAGTGACACCGCGGGGACAGCGCTGCCACTCGGAGCCGGGACATCCCCGAAGCCCGCCTGGCCACGCCCATCACGCCAATTTCCCCGCCCACAAAACACTAACCCCGCCCATGTCCCCACCCCCATCCCGCCCCTTTGTCCCTGGCCACGCCCTAACCCCGCCCATTGACCACGCCCCATTTAAGCTCCACCCACACCCCACCCATTCACTGGCCCCGCCCTCTGACCCCGCTCCGCCTGTCCCCATCCCAAAAGTGACGCCCAGGCCACGCCCAGGCTCTCAACCCCTCCCCTCATGCATTGGCCACACCCCAGCCACGTCCATCACTCATTGGCCACGCCCCCAATCCCACCCCTCAATAATTGGCCACGCCCTAACCATGTCCGTCATATCATGGCCACACCCCCACACCATCAGTCATTCATTGGCCACGCCCATGTACTGTGAGTTATCTTGACCACGCCCACACGCTGTCAGTCATTCCTTGGCCACGCCCCCTCCCCTCCCGCGCGGTGGTGGCGCCCCCCCGCGGCCAGCTCAGGCATTTTCCCTTTTTCCACCTTTTATTTTTCCCCCCTTTTTTTTTCCATAAAAATTTATAATAAAAGCCTTCCTCTGGCGCCGTATACAAAATATTCACTCTAGCGAATAAATAAACCACGAACATCTTGCGGGCAGGACGTGAGCTCAAAAAGGAAAACCAGCATCCATCCTTCCTTCCCTCCCCTGGGGAATTCACACAACAGTTTATCCCTCCTCCACGCTCCAAACTCGACAAAGGAAAGGTGAGGCACGATTCACCTGTGAGGGAGAGAAAAGCTCCTGCTCGCCAGCTCTGAGGAGCTCCTACCCAAACCTGTGGCCAGACAGGAGCAAATCCCAGAGAAATTCTGTGGTGTATCAGGAACAGCAGGGAAGGGATGCTCCTGCCCAGAACAGAACATCCATTGCTGGTCCTGACACAGAAATTTTCTTAGTAGAAGCCAAAAAAAGCCTTTTCTTGGGAAGATTTCCCCGTCCTCCTGCTTCTTTGCCCTGATCTCCTGCTATAAGCCCCAGCTCTGCCCCTCTCTGAGTCTCTGCTTTTTCACCTGGGGGTTTGAAATGAAGAATTTGAGCCCTTTCC